CTGTACGCGGCTCCCATGGCCAATAAAGCGAGATGAGCGCTGAAACCCCAGAGTCGGTCACGACTGGACCTCATGGCCAATAAAGCGAGATGAGCGCTGAAACCCCAGAGTCGGTCACGACTGGACCTAATGGTCAGGGGTCCCTTTACCTCTACCTTTAAAGAGGTGTTTATGAGTGTGAAGAATGCTTGTATTGCCTGAGTATTTATGCATTTCTTTAAACTGGGAGGCGGGGAGGAAGAAAACACGAAGGGGAGGGTCATGAAAGCATTCATATTCACTCCTATCCTTTAAGCCAGGGGTCAGCAACCTTTTTCAGCCATGGGCCAGTCCACCGTCCCTCAGACCATGTGGTGGGCTGGACTATATTTTGCGGGGGGGGGGGAATGAACGAATTCCTATGCCCCACAAATAACCCAGAGATGCATTTTAAATAAAAGCACACATTCTACTCATGTAAAAACACGCTGATTCCCGGACCGTCCGAAGGCCGGATTGAGAAGGCGATTGGGCCGATCCGGCCCCTGGGCCTTAGGTTGCCTACCCCTGCTTTAACCCACCTTTATGCTTGAATACAGTGGTACCTCGGGTTATAGACACTTCAAGTTACAGACACTTCGGGTTACAGACTCCGCTAACCCAAAAATAGTACCTCAGGTTAAGAACTTTGCTTCAGGATGAGAACAGAAATCGTGTGGTGGCACCACAGCAGCAGCAAGGGGCCCCATTAGCTAAAGTGGTACCTCAGGTTAAGAACAGTTTCAGGTTAAGAACAGACCTCCGGATCGAATTAAGTTCTTAACCCAAAGTACCACTGTATTGTGAGATACAGTTTGAGAACCACAAGGCTAAACTGATTTTATCCTAAACAGTCCAAGAGTAATGACAGACTATCCAGGGGGGAAATCTCTACACAGATCCTAGCAGTAGCAATAACAAATCTCAATGGCCCAAATATTTCCCACCCCCAGTATGAGACTCCAGGAGTCTCTCGCCTGTGTGTCAATGAACCAGTGACCTCCCTGAACTCTTAAGGATACAGGAGGAAGGCCTTTTTGTGCTATCTGTGCTACATCTACATTTCACACCCATTTGCTTCTCATACACAAAATCATTTCTTTATTTTCATTTCCCCTTTCCAGCCAGCTTCTTCCTGGAATCCAAGGTGGCTTACAATACAATAAGTTCCTAATAATATTAATAATAATATTAATAATAATAATAATAATGCAATGGGAGACGGAATCAGATAATCAAATTTCTTCACATAATAGGGAAATTGAACCTGTTTGATCCCTAACCCAGCCATTCAGAGCTAAGTTCAGCCAAGGAACCATTCTGGGCTGACCCTTCCTAGACCTCGAAGGGAAGGGAGTTTCTCAGTCAAAGAGCAGCGACTGAAAACAATGATCTATGAATTCCTTCCACCATCTTATCTTGCTGCACATCCGTTACTCAATAGCTGAGAATTGTCAACATTACATTTTCGTTATCATTCCTCACCACCCAAAAGCCTTGGATAAATATCCCCAGTTCCTTCAGGATAGCTACTAGATCCTGCCAGCACAACCTCTCCTTGGTAAAATATCTCTTCTGAGTTACTCCCTGCTCCAGTTGACACGAAACTCAAGCTTTCTTCTGGGCCTTTCTGTAAATGTGAAATCCATAAGAAGGTGGTACTGTATTGAAAAGAGCAGCTCTGCCTTTCTCTAAACGGTTGGCGAGGACCCAAAACCAAACAGGGGCACATTCCCACGATAAAGAGATTATAGCGAACCACTCAAAATCCTTGCCTGTTGCTGCTGGAGCCAGTAAAAGTGACTTGCATTTTCGGTGCCACCCACAGAGACTGCACACATCCACAGAGACACCTCATCATTATCTATAGCCTCCATTTAAATGCCTTGGCTATAAAAAGACCAGAAACCAGAACCAGTAAATACGCCTAATTTTGCTTATTAGTTTTACAAGAGTAACCTCTGACACCTGGAGAAAGCTGGAGTCATCTTGTCGCTAACTAGCGCACCTAAACACTCTGACCCCACGGGGCCTTCTCTGTTTTGCCTCTCGTTTATCCGCAAGAGAATTCCATATCCAAGCTAGTCCTCTCCTCTCCTGGGCGACTGCCATCACAGCCTCCATTTTCCTTAACAGGGACAAGTCAAAAAAGCCTGGGAAATGGGACAGAGCTGAGATGCGCAAGACGAAAAACTGAACCCCTTTCAGGCATCAACAGGAAGCAAAGAAACATGAAAAGCAAAGACAAATAGACTTAGAATTTTTTTCTCAACATTTTTCTTTACTCAAGTACCCAACAGTTAGCACTGTATTATTCGTTAATTTAATATGTTTTTTACGTGCTTTTCATACAAACTCCACTAAGCAGTTTATAGAAAATGAAAAATAATAAGCATGAATTAAGAATAGATAACGCAAACAGCAAATACAAGCCGCAGGGAAAGCTTTTCGAAACTCCAGCTGCGTCCACCCCTCTTATACACAGCTTAATCCTATGTATGTTTACTCAAGACCTTCTGAGTTTAGTGGGACTTGCTCCCAAGTATGCAGACATAGGATTATTGCAGCCTAAATCCTCAAAACCAGGCACTTTCGCTTCTCTAAACAGGTGGTCACTCAAGCTGAATGCAGAGCTCTCAAGTGGTCCAAAAGAGGACATAAAGCTTACCAAACATACCAGCACCCTACTTTCCCCAAATCAACACACTCCATAGAACTAAACTAAGGGCCTGGGATAGCTTAGTCCGTGGGTTCGAGCCCCATGCTGGGCAAATAATTCCTGCATTGCAGGGGGGGGGGACCAGATGAGCCTTATGGTCCCCTCCCACTCGACAACTCTAGGAGTCTATAAAGGGATGGCACTCATTAAATCACAATACATTAAAAAAGAGACACACAGCAACCTCTGTAGCCTTCCAGATGGCTGAAATTTAGATCTAGAAAAAACCTCTGTCAAGACCACGGACACTTCACAGGGTTCACATACAGACACACACACAGGACCAGCACAAGAAAAAACAACACACCAAGCAGTAAATGGCAAAAATTCAGGTGCCAAGGACTTCCTGCCCAATGAGGTCCCAGAACTTCTGGGGCAAAAACTGGCATTCCACAACCTCTTTTACAAAATCCTGTGTGTGTCTCTCCACCATACCAAGAGTTAAGAGAGATGAAGAGAAAAATATGCCGTTTACACTGTCCAGAAGTATAAATAACCACACCAAAAACACACACACCCCAAACAGTATTGTTTGTTTATTGTTATTACTTCTAATATTTTGCAAGCAGATCTGCCCAGGAGCATTCAGGGCAACAAACAAATCTGCAGCCTAAGCCTGCAGAGAAGGCAAGGGAACGTCAGCCTTGCTGTAAGGCTGTGATCCCACGCACACTGACTTGGGAGTAAGTCCCATGGGCTGTTCTTGCAAGTAAAAAGCAATGCATTCGGGTCGGGCTGCCCAGCATCAAACAGGGCAATCAGTCAGATGCACCCAACAGAGGACAGCGTCCATCTCCCCCCCCCTTTATACCCCACCCTGTGATGCTTAGCCCTTTGCAATAGGAATTCTAGAGGCCCCTTCTGTCAAGAACATAAGGGGAGGGGAAGCTGCCCGCCAATAGCAGAGAAGCAAAGGCTGGACAGCAAACATCAGCTGAATAAACACAGGCAGAAATAAAAGAGGGGGGAGAGAGAGAGAAGAGAGAGAGAGAGGTTTGTGGCAAAGGAAAAATGCCAGCGCTTCCAATCAGGTCTTGGGAGCCACCTCCAAGGAGGAAACTGGTTTTAAAACACACACACACACACACCAAACAAGCCATCTTTTAAAAATATGAAAAAGCAGTGCATTTCACCACTGAGGAAAATGCTGATTAAAAGGTGGAGTCAGTCCTCTGGGGAAGAAACTGCAAGAAGCAGACCGGTTTCCTTGACACACTAAACCCAAAACGGTCAGCCTCAAATGCCCTTAATAGTACTGTACTCCCACTCGACTCCCCGCGCATCCTACGCATCGGGAGATGTGGAAAAGACGCGTGGAATATCCAGACACAGAACCACGTCCATAGGATTTAAAAACAACAACATGTGGGGGGGGGTTGTTGTTTTTTTTGGAGGGGGGAGGTTTGCCTGGTGAAGAACTTCGTTTTCACTCGAGTCCAGATTAAAGGGCGGCTACCCGACAGGTCGCCAGGAATTATGCCTATAGATGGGCATTTAAAATTTCCGACTTGAAGGGGGGGGGAGAAAATCAAGACACGCTTCACATTCTGATCGGTTCGGAAGCAAAATGAGAGATTCGCGTGTCTTACGCACGCGCGCAAAAGAGAGCGCGCCGGGCGCGGGGGGGGGGCGGGAGGTCGTATGAAAAACAAACGCTGGGATGGCTCTTGCCACATAACTGGGATGTTTTTCTTTGGGGGGGGGAAATCCCCCAAATCCCAGCCTCTCAAGAACAGGCATTGGGGTAGCACGGGGGGGGGGAGGCGGCGATTCGGAGCAACAAAAACAAGCACCCCTCCCTCGCCTTTTCGCACCAGCACCGGAAGAAAGCACCATACTTTCCCCCAAGGCCCCCCCCTTTAAAAAATATCTAGCGAGTAAGGGCGGGGTGAAGAGAGATCTAATTTTGGGGGGCGACGACGACGTCTCTGCCAAAAGGGCTATAGATTTAGAAGAGAGATTAGATGGGGAAATGACAGCCAGTGGAGCAACATGGATCGTCCGTATAAAAATGGGGACAGCGTTGTGTAAGAGGAGAGGCTTCCCCAGGAATTGGGGTGAGAAGGGGTGTTTGTGCGGGGGGGGGAGAATATGTGAGTGTTTTCAGGGCGCGTGCACGCCTTTCCTCCCCCGCCAGGGTTCAAGGGATCTCCCTAACCCCGCACAGATCGCGAGCGGAGCGCGCGCAAACACATACACACAAACACACCCTCGCCAACCCCGCCGAAAGCGAAAACCCACCAAACTTTCCAAGTCCCCTTACCTTGTTTCGAAAGCACCAAGGCTTCGTCCCTCTGCACTTGGGTGATGATGGACCGGCTTTCCATCTAACAATCCCACAGACCCTGGGGATCCTTTGGTCGGAGGGAGGAGGAGGGGGGTGGAAAGGAGGGAAATGTCCAGGGAGGAGGAGGAGGAGGAGGAACGGGGTGGGGTGGGGGGAGCGCAAGGCAGCACGATGTCGCCCACTCCCTCCTCACTTGCCCAACCCCGGAGGAAGCCGCGCGCGAAGGCAGCGACGCAGATGCTCCTCAGATCGGGTCCAACATGGAGAATCCAGGGCTGGAGGGAGGGAGGGAGGAGAGGAAGGAGGGGGGGGCCACACACACACACACACACACACGAGAGAGGAAATGGGACACAGGCGGTTTCCAGTCCCCCCGCCTCCTCCAGATAAACAACCAGCCGCAGCAGCTCCCTTTTTGCAGCTCGCCTCCCTCCTGACAGGCTCCCGGAACTGGGCACCGCGCCGGGCGCGCAGGGCGAAGGCGCAGCTGCGGGGGGAGCCCCGCTCGAGGTTGCAACGTCCCAAAGCTTTTGTTATTTTGTCGCCCGTCCGGGGGCTTCTCCTCGCAGAGAGAGAGAGAGAGCAGCCTTGAAACCGCTCCGGCCTCGCGATTGGTCCGGCGCGAGGCGGGCGGGCGGGGGGGATCTGGGGGTGGGCGGCGCCAGAAACTCTACTATGCGGTGTTTACCTAACAAGCATTCCAGCTGCCGGAGGGAAAGGGAAGGGCGGCCCAGGCCACGCCTCCTCGGGGGTGGGCAGGCCGGAGAGAGAGGGGGGGGCGCTTCCTAGAGGCCGCCGCTCCGTGCGCTTGCTCTTTCCAGGCCGGCTGCAATGCCCTTCCCAAAATCAAAAGCTAAACGCCAGAGCAAGGAGCGTTTGCAGCGCTCCAGGGAAATCAGTGCATGCATTTGTCGGCCGTGCAAAGCAATAAAAGATGAGCAAGTTCTTGCCTGTCAATCAAGAGCAGTAAATTGATCAAACGTGGGGTTGTTGTTTTTTAAAGCTAGCGAGCAAGCAGCGCCTCCGAGTAGACAGCGGAAGCTGCATGGGCGTGATCCTTTCCAAAGTTTTCAAAAACTATAATGAGAGCGCGATCTTCCCTAAAGTGCATAGCTGTCAACGTTTCCCCCTTTTTTTAAGGGACATTCCTATTCGGAATAAGGGAATTCCCCTTTTTAAAAAAGGGAAACGTTGACAGCTAAAGTGAGCGGGGGGAAGTGGCTCAGGTGAGTAAACACGAGCCTGTTACAGAAGGGGAAGTCTTTCTGTACTACCGCCAGCCTCCCCTCCGGCCTCCAAAGGCAAAGCCCGTGATCACTAGGACCGGTTAAGACCGCGCAAAACAAACAGGACTTTCCTAGAAAAGAATTGGGTGTGGAAGAGGAAGTTCATTTCTTTCCAGGCAAGGCTGGTGACTTCATATAGATCTGGCCCTAGTTATAGCTCTTGTTGTTTCCAACAGAGTCCAGTTGTTACATGCATTTAATCCCAATTCTAAATATTTCCCTTCTTTCTATATGGCCCAAACATGACATCATCACCTATGCATGTAAACTTCTCTGCCTTTGCTTTTGCCTTCTGTGGAATGGTTCCCCCAGACCCAAATGGAAAATATATCACTGAGAAACGGGGGCTGGGGGGGGCAGGGAGAGAGGTGGGGAGGTAAGAGATTTTGTTTGAGGAACCTGTGATCTTTCCCCTTGCGGAACATTCTCCTTTCCTCAACTAGAAACATAGGAAAGAAAAACAGCAAGGTGCCCTGCATACAATGGTGCCTCGGGTTACATACGGTTACAGACTTCAGGTTAAGAACTTTGCTTCAGGTTAAGAACAGTGCTTCAGGTTAAGAACTTTGCTTCAGGATGAGAACAGAAATCGTGCTCCAGCGGCAGCAGGAGGCCCCAGTAGCTAAAGTGGTGCTTCAGGTTAAGAACAGTTTCAGGTTAAGAAAGGACCTCCGGAATGAATTAAGTACTTAACCTGAGGTACCACTGTATATGCAAGTTTGACATCAGCAGCCAGCTGACCAATCGCCTCCCTCCTCTCACACCAGTTTACATTATTGCAAACGTCGCCACCACAATGATCAACAAACACAGGTCTCAGCATTTGGGTCGCAACTAAAACACAAACTCATAGATCGGATATTAAAATTTGGGTTCCCCGACAAATTCTGGAATTCATATTTGTACCAATAAATTAAGTTGTGGCTGCAATCCTCTCTCCCTGCCCCCGCCCCCTAGCCCCAGTTTTTCAGTGATATATTTTCCATTTGGGTCTGGGGGAGCCATTTCACAGAAGGGTCAGCAAACTTTTTCAGCAGGGGGCCCGGCGGTCCACTGTCCCTCAGACCTTGTGGGGGGCCAGACTATATTTTGAATAAAAGAACGAATTCCTATGCCCCACAAATAACTCAGAGATGCATTTTAAATAAAAGGACACATTCTGTTCATGTAAAAACACACTGATTCCCGGACTGTCCACGGGCCGGATTTAGAAGCTGATTGGGCCGGATCCGGCCCCTGGGCCTTCGTTTGCCTACCCATGCTTTACACCCTTAAAGGTAAAGGTAAAGGGACCCCTGACCATTAGGTCCAGTTGTGGCCAACTCTGGGGTTGCGGCGCTCATCTCGCTTTATTGGCCGAGGGAGCCGGCATACAGCTTCTGGGGCATGTGGCCAGCATGACTAAACTGCTTCTGGCGAACTAGAGCAGCACACAGAAATGCCGTTTACCTTCCCGCTGGAGTGGTACCTATTTATCTACTTGCACTTTGATGTGCTTTCGAACTGCTAGATTGGCAGGAGCAGGGACCAAGCAACAGGAGCTCACCCCATCGCGGGGATTCAAACCGCCGACCTTCTGATCAGCAAGTCCTAGGCTCTGTGGTTTAACCCACAGCACCACCCGCATCCCTTTTTACACCCTTACCTTGGAGTAAAATATTGCTGTAGATCCTGACTCAGTTTGCTGCCTTATCATTCCAGTTAATTCAAATCAGCAACTATATCGCCTGCAATGCAGAATGTTCTCTCCATCACACCTTCCACCCATTCCATCGCTGAGTCGCCTCCCCCATAAGCGGTAGAGGAAAACGGAAGCCCTGCTTGCTTCAGCAGATGGGAGATAAGAGGAGGCAACATGACTGGGGAGGAACGGGCCGAGGAACTGCTGCAACCTCTCCTGCTACTTATTATTATCATGCTTTATTGAACTTATTAGTTTCTTTCTTTACCAATGTAACTCAATGTGACAACGATAAATAAATACAGTGGTACCTCGGGTTACATACGCTTCAGGTTACATACGCTTCAGGTTACAGACTCCGCTAACCCAGAAATATTACCTCGGGTTAAGAACTTTGCTTCAGGATGAGAACAGAAATTGTGCTGCGACGGCACTGCGGCAGCAGGAGGCCCCATTAGCTAAAGTGGTGCTTCAGGTTAAGAACAGTTTCAGGTTAAGAATGGACCTCCGGAACGAATTAAGTACTTAACCCGAGGTACCACTGTAACACATACAGTTATAAACAGCGTGAAACACAACATGGCAAAATTTGAAATACATTCATATTTTTAAAAGGCAGGATTAAAATATCCCACGCACTGAAGGAGTCCACAGATAATTAAAAGCCAAAGGCCTGGTGGGAAGTAAATAATGTCGGGGACAGGTGAGCTTCCCTGAGCAGAGCATTCCACAAGCAGTGTTACCACCCTCCAGACCTTCTGTGAAGGGGGCACACAAGGTTTGGGTTGGTTCATATGGGAAGAGGTGGTGCCTGAGGTCATCTTCTTTGGTGATCACTTGTAGCTGAGTAAGATTGCCTTCCATGAAAACAGTCTTCACAGTGAATCCGTAAGTGTCTCTGGAGGCCTGAGCCACATAAAACCAGCCCTTGGAATTGGGGCTGGAAGCTCATTGGTAGCCAATGCAGTTGGGCCAGGATTTGTGTTCTGTGCTCAGACTGTCTCACCCTGACTGACAAATTCTGCACCAGCTGCAGTTTCCAAACCATCTTTGAAGGCAGCCCCACATATAATGCATTGCAGTAATCTAATGTGTGAGGGACGCGGGTGGCGCTGTGGGTTAAACCACAGAGCCTAGGACTTGCCGATCAGAAGGTTGGCGGTTCGAATCCCCGCGACGGGGTGAGCTCCAGTTGCTCAGTCCCTGCTCCTGCCAATCTAGCAGTTCGAAAGCGCGTCAAAGTGCAAGTAGATAAATAGGTACCACTCCGACGGGAAGGTAAACGGCGTTTCCGTGCACTGTTCTGGTTATGCTTAGTCATGCTGGCCACATGACCCGGAAGCTGTACACCGGCTCCCTCGGCCAATAAAGCGAGACGAGAGCCGCAACCCCAGAGTCGGTCACGACTGGACCTAATGGTCAGGGGTCCCTTTACCTAGTAATCTAATGTATCTAGAAACCCAAATGTTTCTGGCAAGCGATGGTGAACAAGCGTATTGTTAGAAGCAGAAAACCATGAGAGAGAAGAAGAAAAATACTGAAACTAGGGGACCCCTGATTATAATGCTGTGTTTTGTGTTTTTTTAAATTCGGATTGTGGCAGCATTGCTTTAAAAAGCACCTCACACCCGTTCTGATGCCAAACTCAGTCTATCGATACTTTTTATTTTTATTTTAGGGTGATGTTATGAAAGAGAGTAGGATTATCGTACCTACCTGTCATTTTTGCAACTTTCTCTAGCGAGTGCATCTGGTGCTGCTATTGTCTGAGACTGGCCACTGGGCTGAAGGAAACAATGGCTCTTCCAGTTTGGCAACGGCCTCCATTTCCCTGTGCCCTTTGACCCCTTTGTCAAGAACAGTTACATAGCTGGAGCGGAGGGACTGGCCTGCCTGACCCCAGGGGACACAGATGGGCTTGTCGCTGCCATCTGGAGAAGAATGAGGCACAGTATGGAGCCAAACGGATCACTTCTGTATCTCCTCCTCCTCCTCTCCCCTGCCTACTTGACCCCTAAAGTACTCCCACTCCTCTCTCTGCCTAGACCCCTTCTGTCTCACTTTATCCAGTTGCAAAAAAGAGAGGCTTACCCTTGCACTTTGTCCAAAGATCAACTGACAGTCCTTTCCCCCCTCCCTCCCCGGGGGTCCATAGAAGGCTTTTAGCTGGTTAGTGTGTTTATGTATTTTCTTGGTTTACACGGCGCACCTTAGGAAACCTTAGCCCTTAAGCATACTTTGCAACCAACGTTCTGTTTCTACAAACAGTGCGTATATGTTCACACAGAGCGGTGGTTCCAAAATGCATCTGTCGGTATAGAAAGCAGGGGTTATGTTCTAGGTTAAATCAGCTAGAGAAAAACAATGAACTTGCAAGTGTGCTTCTGGTTTAGTTGGACTTGGCATCCTCCTCCCTTCTTAATGTTAACTCCCCCTCCCCGCCGGCCACTAAACTTTAACTTGAACTGTGAAGCTTACATCAATAGTTCTTCCTTTAAAACCCTCCCTGCTTCTGTTATGGACTCAGGAAAGTTTTACGGGATTTCTGCTGGGGCAACGAGAAGTAAAATCTTGCACGATAAGCAAAAGTCTGGTTTAGATA